ATGCCGGAAAAGAACGTCGCGGCCGTGCTTCGAGGTGTCCGCCTCCTCCATCAAGCCAGGCACTCCCTACTCGAAGGAGCTGTGCCGTGGCAGCCACATGATTGTCCGATTTCGGCAACACCCTAAACCCTGAAACCCTTAAGCCCTAAACCCGAAGAAAAAGCAAACAAAGAAGGAACCCAAAACCCCAAACTCTAAGCCACGAACCTTCCCCTGAACCCTGAAACCCTTAAGCCCTAAACCCAAAAGCCCGCAAAAAAAAAGAAGGAACCCATAACCCCAAACTCTAAGCCACGAACCTTCCCCTGAACCCTGAAACCCTTAAGCCCTAAACCCTAAACCCAAAACCCAAAACCCTAAACCCTAAACCCTCAAGACATTGCCGAGGCGCTTGCTGGCGCACGTCTTCGACACCGCGGAAGCGGGAAACCCGGGCTCAGCAGCTGCGCCTCCAGATAAGGTTTTAGGGTCGAGGGTTTAGGGTTTAGGGTTTAGGGTTGGGGTTGGGGGTTATAAGGTTTCGGCTTCCAGGGTTTCAGGAAAGGGGTTTCGGCTTCCGGGGTTTAGCCTTCAGGGTTCCAGGTTTAAGGTCCTCAACCCTCTACCCTAAACCCTAGACTAGATTCGAAACCCTGAACACACGAGGTTTCGAGTGGGAACTCGTCAGAAGAAGGACCCCCCAAGGGCCTTAAACTAGGCCACCTTAACTAGTAGCAGAACTCCCTCCTCAACCCAAAAACCTGAACCTCGAGCCCTTAGCCTGAGCCTAAACACACAACCGCAAGCCCTAATGCTACGGTAGGCCCCACAAAACTCCCGGGGCTTCCTTGTCACTTGGGGTTTAGGGTTTCGGTTTTAGGGTTTCGGTTTTGGGTTTCGGGTTTAGGGTTTAGGGTTTGGGGTTTGAGGTTTGGGGTGTGGGGTTTAGGGTTGAGGGTTTAGGGTTTAGGATTTAGGGTTTAGGGTCTGGCCCAAGCGTGTGTAGCCCGTTTGCCCCCCTACCTTCAACCCCACCGTGTGTCTGTATGTTTGCATACACGCACATAGATAGATAGATAGATAGATAGATAGATGTATAGATGCATAGATGTATATATATATATAGATGTATATGTATGTATGTGATAGATAGATAGATAGATAGATAGATAGATGTGTAGATGCATTAATGTATGTATATATATATATATATATATCTATAAAACTCTAGATGTATATGCCTGTATGTTTAGTGCAACTATGCCGTCCGGTGACTGACGCCCAGGTGTGCGACGCCATTGAGCGCTTCGGGGAGGACATCCTCGGCCCGGCTGGGCAGTGGCTCAAGGCAGACGGTTCTTCTTCTGGGTTTGGGGTTTAGGGTTTAGGGTTAGGGTTTAGGGTTTAGGGTTTAGGGTTTAGGGTTTAGGGTTTCGGGTTGAGGGTTTAGGGTGGTTCTTCTGCTGGGTGGGCTATTGAAATTTTACATGTTTTCCCTTGTCGGGTTGCAGAGGCTTATGTTCAGGAATATTTCTTCTTATTGCGTTCAGAATCAGAATACCTAATCTTGTCTCAGCCCTCGTCCCTCGTTTCCTGGCCCCCCCCAAATCCGACGTACGGCCTAAACCGCTAGGAGTCAAGGTGAGGGGCTTCGGGTGTTGACCCAGTGCTGGCCATTGTGGTCGGTTTTGGTGCTCAGGGGGAAGCGTTTGTTTTTTGCAGAAGACATGCGCTTGCACGCGAGGTGGCAGGGCGGCACAAGACTACCGTGCTCAGCAAGGCCATGAAAGCTTGCCCCACAGGACAGGGGCTAGTGCGGGGCAGGATGTCGAACCCTTAGTCTGGAACAGCCAGCCCCCAGAAACTCCCCAAGGATGCGGGGAGACTTCGAGGCATTGCCCTACTTTCCTTTGTCATAGTTGGGTAACTTTGTACATATTTAAGGGTACTTAACCCCAATAAAGAATAGAAATGCAAGTGTTTAATATTATCCCAACAATGAACTGGTTTCTCTTTTGGTGTTTCGAAAGGCTGCTTGACATAAACGGCTCTTAGCCAACCAGCCACAAAGCCTCCCGGAATGGGTTCTTTATGTCCTCTCTTCCCCCCCCCCTCCCAACCCTAAACCCCAAACCCCCAAACCCCCAAACCCTAAGCCAAATCCTTGCCTGTCTTGTGCGAGGGTGGGAGCCGAAAACCTAATTCCTAAACCCCAAACCCCAAACCCCAAACCCCAGACCCCAAACCCTAATCCCCCCCGGCCGCACAAAAATGCAGCAATAAGCCTGCGAGCAGGAAGCATCCTGGAGATTGGAACCCTAAACCCTAAACCCTAAACCCTAAACCCTAAACCCTAAACCCTAAACCCTAAACCCTAAACCCTAAACCCTAAACCCTAAACCCTAAACCCTAAACCCTAAACCCTAAACCCTAAACCCTAAACCCTAAACCCTAAACCCTAAACCCTAAACCCTAAACCCTAAACCCTAAACCCTAAACCCTAAACCCTAAACCCTAAACCCTAAACCCTCAACCCTAAACCCTCAACCCTAAACCCTAAACCCTAAACCCTAAACCCTAAACCCTAAACCCTCAACCCTAAACCCTAAACCCTAAGCCCCCGAGGAGGAAGCATCCTGGAGATTGGAACCTACTGCGGCTACTCGGCTCTCCGCATGGCCATGACACTGCCTGGGGCGCGAGCCGCGCGGCTGCGGCTTAAGGTCTTGGTAGATTAGTGGTAACCTTTACATTTTTTTTTTAATGGGTCCCCTTGTAGAATAAGCTAGCCAAAAAAGGGGTGCCCTTATTATGATGCGGGTACTGGGCTACCAAGAGGTACAGACTGAGAGAGGGATGTACTTGCAGTAAAGATGAGTAGGGATAAGTGAGGTTATGAGTACCCTAAAGCTGGCTATAAGTGCAGTTGCCATACTTCTAACCCTACTTGTAACTATCCCTGAACCTGCAAGTAGGTTTCAGGGGTTAGGGCCCGTGAGGTAGATCAGTTGTGGAACAAACACCAAAGAACCTCCGCACTCATCAGTTCCCGAAACCAGTTAAGCCCCTGAAAAGCACCGAACAAAAACATCCCAAGCACCGGGAGCCCTGTATGATTATGATGAGTATTCTGATCATGATGATGGTCAGTATTGTTCTGGTTGCTATGTGTCAAAGGGGCGTCTTCCCCCTCAGTCAGGGGGGGTTGTTTGGGGATGTGCTATTGCGCGGTCAGCTCTCCGCGGCCCACTTGGAGGTTCATCTGCACTTATATGTCTCACTTGTAGAACCTACTTAGAGGACTTAGGAGGCTTTATAAGTGCAGCTATAAGTGGGGTTATAAGTCTACGCATAGCCTACTTAGAGGACTTAGGAGGCTTAGAAGCTCATAAGTACCCAAATCTCAAGCAAAGCTGCCCAAGGTCGTCTCTCTGGAGGTTGACCCAGCTCACATGGTCATCGCCCGCAACATGGTGGCCTACGCGGGCCTCGCCCACATGATCGAAGCCCATCTCGGACTTTTTTTCATGCTGGCTCTTAGTAGGGAATGAGGGAATGAGGTACCCTATAGAATAATAATCCCTTAAGGGCATATGGGTATATATGGTCCAGTGCCCTAATTCCTTCATTCCCCTCTAAGAACCAGGGGGGTTTGGCGCGCTTGATAGGGCGAGGCTCTCGAGGTCATTGTTTTGGGGTCGAGGGGGGGTAGCCTTGCTGAGGGTCTCTTCGATTGTAGTATGTTCCTGCCATCATGATTGTCTGCCCACTTGCCGATTGTTTAATCCTCCTGTGCGCACGCTGAGGACATCTGGACGGGGCACAGCAAGGACGTGCTCCCGCGGCTCCCAAGGCGGAGTGGGGTTCGGGCAGTTTGGGGTTTCAGGTAAAAAAGGGCATTCCGCAGTCCGGCTGCAAAAAGAGGTTTAGGGGTGGGATTTAGGCTTACTTTTGGGTTTGATAGTTTAGGGGTGTTTGGATTTAGGCTTTGTGTTTAGCGTTGAGCCGAAAGTTGAAGGTTAGAGAGAGCGAGAGCGAGAGCGAGAGCTAAAGCGACAGAGAGAGCCAGAGCGAGCGAGAAGTCAAGCAAAGGTCTATGTAAATTGGCGCATCTCAAATTCGCAGGGCTGGGGTTTACGCAGATCAATGCGTGGAAAGCAAATCCTAAGGCAATGTGCCAGGTTCAAAAAGGCCTAGCACTTTGAATGGCCAGTTGTGTTGTTTTTCCAGTCCTGGCCAGCCCACACCAGCATGGTGCAGTCAATTGTGTCCCGTGCGGTTTCGTGTGTTTTCGCCTAGTCGCCGTTTGGGGTCTGGTGTTGACTTCGGTCTTGGGGATGGAGGGTTGATTCGGTTTCTGTGGGGGCGGAAGGAGGGAGTGTATAGGGTCGGGTCTGGGTTTAAGGTTGAAACCTTTGGGTCGTGTCGTGCCCGGGGCAGTGTCATCACTAGGATTCTTACGTTTGGGTCAGGGTTTGAGCAAGGTGTGCTGTGATTGGAACTGCCCAGCTCAGGCTTCGCCTCTCCAAGGTATCTCGAGCCCATAGCCCTAAACCCTAAACCCTAAACCCTAAACCCTCAACCCCGAAGCCCTAAACCCTAAACCCTAAACCCTAAACCCCACATCCTGGGAGGGTTGTACAACAAGAGAATCGCCTATGCCACGCTGTGATCTGAGACCTGTCAGGGTTTAGGGTTTAGGGTTTAGGGTTTAGGGTCTAGGGCTTAGGGGCGCATTATTTCCCTCCTACCCAAATTGTTCCACAGAGTGTGGAACTCTGAACGCCCACGGTTGTGCAGCAAGGGGGCAAAAAAACCCCTAAACCCCAAACCCCAATCCCCACAGCCCAAACCCTAAACCCTAAACCCTAATTTGAAGCCTTCGGCTTGGAGGAAGTATGGTGGCCGGCACAACTTCAAGCTCTGCGGCGTCTTCATGGAGCCTTCATGGCACTCTCCGTGGGGCTGGAACTTCTATGTTCGAGTTTCGGGTTTAGGGTTTAAGGGTTTAGGGTTTAGGTTTAGGGTTTAGGGTTTAGGGTTTACTCGGGGTGGAAGGGTGGCTTTGGGGCTAGGTGGTCCGCATGGGCGCTTAGCCCTTCAACCTCCAGTAGCCCTAGACTCTCAACCCTAAGCCAGTGCCAGCTCGGGCGGCAAAAAAAGGCCTCTAGACCCTCCGGGCTCTCGACGGGTGGCTAAAGAATCCTCAAACCTCAAGCCCCGAGCCATAAACGCCCGACGCTAAGCACCCAAGCCCCATTCTCCAACCCTCAGCCCTCATAAACCACTGCTGCACATCACTTAGGCTTGCTTATGCTTTCACTGTTCAGGACCCTCAAGCCTTCACCCTCTTCTCTCCCCCCCCCTTCCCCCGGGTTTAGGGTTTAGGGTTTAGGGTTTAGGGCCCAAGGATCAGAAAGGCTCGCGCTACCACGAAGACCTCTCCGTCATCGAGCAGCTGGGGCTCCTCTTGCCGGGGGCTGCGGCTGGGATCTCACTGCCTGGCTTTGGGGTTTAGGGTTTAGGGTTTAGGGTTTAGAGTACTCTACTTTACTCCGTTTTTGGTTCAGGGTTTCCATTATAGCTACTTATCCCTCAAAAGAAGTATACTCCAAAGTAGGGTTCCTTGCTCTACCCCTGAAGCTTCAACCCGAAACCCCGCATCACCGTTTTTTCTTCCCTAAACCCTAAACCCTAAAACCCTAAACCCTAAACCGCAAACCCTACTTACATGTGGGCACTTTTTTTCCATGGGCAAGGTGGTGGTGGCGGACAACGTCCTGAAGCCGGGCTCGCCCCTCTTCCTCTGGCGGCTCTGCAAAGGACGGTTTGAGGGGTCTAAACCCTAAACCCTGAACCCTGAACCCTGAACCCTAAACCCTAAACCCTAAACCCTAAAACCCCAAACCCGAAACCCCAAACCCGAAGACCTAAACCCTCAAAGGCAACCTGCAGCACCTAGAACTCAGGGCTCAAGCCTTCGGGCTTAGGGCTTCGGCTTCGGGCTTAGGGCTCTCAGGGGCTGAGGGCTTAGGGTTTAGGGCTTAGGTTTTGGGGTTTAGGGTTTAAGGTTTAGGGTTTAGGGCTTAGGGCTTAGGGGCTGAGGGCTTAGGGTTGAGGGACCTTTGCTTCGCAAAAAACCGCCACCTGCAACCCCGAGGTGATCCCATATTCCCCCTGGCAGCCTCAGCTCTGCATGTTGCGCTCGGCTTTGTTCTGGGTGTGACCTCAGGATACCGTTCTTCCTGCACGTGAAGAAAACCCAAGAGGTAAACCCTCAACCCTCAACACTCAACCCTCAACCCTCAACATCCCTCCACCCTCCACCCTCAACCCTCAACCCTCCACCCTCAACCCTCAACCCTAAGCCCTAAACCCTAAACCCTAAACCCTAAGCCCTAAACCCTAAACCCTAAGCTCTAAACCCTAAGCCCGGAAGGCCAGTCTTACGACAACCATGTGGTGCGCGTCCGGGAGTTTGCCATGCCGTCGGATGACTGGATGTCCGACACTCGCCGGAGCATGTCGCGCGAAACCCCAAAGTGCCCAAAACTTGACATCTCAAAAGGCCCCCCCCCCCAACAGAAAACCCAAACTTAAAGCCCTAAACCCTAAACTCAAAAACCCTAAGCCCCAAACGCTCTCGACCCTGAGCCGCCATAAGCGCCCCGTGTTACTTACCCTCAACCCAAACCTAAACCCCAAACCCTAAACCCTAAACCCCAAACCCTAAACCCTGAACCCTAAACCCTAAACCCTAAACCCCAAACCCTAAACCCTAAACCCTAAACCCCAAACCCTAAACCCTAAACCCCAAACCCCAAACCCCACGGAGGTCAGTGTCCTGCGGGCAGAGGCCGCCCAGGCCTTTGCCGAGGCGTCTGTGGACTCCCCGGTGGTGGTGCTTCGGCGGCCGGTTTAAGGTGAGGGTTTAGGGTTTAGGGTTTAGGGTTTAGGGTTTAGGGTTTAGGGTTTAGGGTTTAGGGTTTAGGGTTTAGGGTTTAGGGTTTAGGGTTTAGGGTGTAGGGTGTAGGGTGTAGGGTGTAGGGTGTAGGGTGTACGGTTTAGGTAGGGTTTAGGGTTTTGGGGCAGAGCAGCGTTCGGGCTATACCCCGAATTTCTCAGGAGAAGGCCAAGGGCATCAGTCCTGTGGGCAACTGGCCGGTGGCGCCCGAGGAGCTCATTCAACTGAGCCTTCGCCTGCACTGGTGGGCTCTAAGCCCTAAGGGTTTAGGGCTTAGGGTTTAGGGTTTAGGGTTTAGGGCTTATAAGCACGCAGGGTTTAGTGTTTAGGGTTTAGGGTTGAAGGCCTAAACACGCATCCCTTCAGTGCGGCGTCTGGTGTATGTGAGAGTGCCTGTCTCTCTCTCTCTCTGTGGGTGTGGGCTCTTTGAAGCCGTGGAGGAGCCTCGCTACGATGTGCAAACTTTTTGGTGTCGGAATAAGGTTAGGGATTTAAGACTATTTTAGGGTAGAGACATAAGGGTTTAGAGGTTTATGGGCTTCAAGCCCGCGCACAGAAAAAAATGGGAAGCCTAAACCGCAAACCCTAAATTTACTAGACCCCCGAGGCTTAAGCCTTTTTTGGGGTGGCGGAATGAGGGTGTAGAGTTGGGATGATCCCCCTTGTACTAGTCGGGAGTATAACAGAGGGTACTCTGATCCCGATTTAGGAGCTGTTCGTGTAAGGGGGGGACATCCCAAGTGTAGAGGTTTCCCTAGACCCTAAACCCTAAACCCTAAACCCGAAACCCGAAACCCTAAACCCTAAACCCTAAACCCTAACCCCTAAACCCTAAACCCTAAACCCAAGTGTAGAAGTTTGTAGGCTTCAAGCCCCAGACCTGGACCGTGCATCCCAGGCAGTGGGAGTCGGATCGCATCCGCGCGCAAGCGACGCGCCCGGGCAGTGGCTCCGTCAGCTTCGACGAGTGGGCAAAGTACGCCAGCAACATGAAGGCCCTTCGCGTTTCGGGTTTAGGGTTTAGGGCTACGGGGCTTGCCCAAAACCAGAAACCCAAAAGCAAGCAAAAGCCTAAGCTCTGAGCCCGAAGGGCCTTTTGGTTTCGGACCCTAAACCCTAAAGCAACCAAAAAGCCAGCCTCATGCAGGCGGGGCCTCCTCCTAAGCCCTGACCCCTAACCCCAAAAGAGACTTCACTTAAGTTCCTGAACAACTGCCAAGCCGTAAACCCTAAATCCTAATCTCTGAACCCTGAACCCTAAACCCTGAACCCCAAAGCTAAACTCTAAACTCTAAACCCTAAACCCTAAACCCTAAACCCTAAACCCTAAACCCTAAACCCTAAACCCTAGACCCTGAACTTGCCCTACTGGGGGCTCTGTGGCAAGACCTTGGATTGTGTTGTGCCTCGCCGGGCTTGTCCGAGTGTGAGCGATTCAAAGCCCAAAGCCCAAAGCCCAAAGCCCAAACCCCAAACCCCAAACCCCAAGCCCTGAGCCCTCAGCCCTCAGCCCGAAGCCCGAAGCCCGAAGCCCGAAGCCCTAAACCCAAGCCTTCGCCTCCTGCGACCCTGAGAGTCTGGTTCAGGAGAAGATGGCGCTACACGGGAGCCTCGTCGAAAGATATTCTCGGACCCAGAGTAGGCCCCTGTTCCCCGTTTTTTTAGAGATTTGGTGCCCTTATCCGCCCCCTGGAAACCAAAGCAAAGGCACCCTTTGCATTGCTAGGGTTAGTCTTGGGTCTAGCATTCGGGTTCCGTGCTTCGGGGTTTGGAGCTCACGTGGAAGGCAACGAGTTTGGCCGTTCCTTTCACTCTCGCGGGCCCCACCACCCCGAACTGTAGCCTCTTAGGGTGGGAGGCTGCATCCTGAAGGACCCACACGTGGTGAGCACTTGTTCGACAGGCATCTGAGCTTTGAGTTTGGGGTTTCGGGCGTGAAACTTGAGGCAGCGCACAGCCCAGAAAGGGCTGAGTTCGACCCCTCTCCAATGGCACCGCCTAGACACAGCTCAAGGGGGCTGATTGGGAAGAAAATGAGATGCTTGCTTTATCAAAAGGGTTTAGGGTTTCGGGTTTAGGGTTTAGGGTTTAGGGTTTAGGGTTTAGGGTTTAAGGTTACATGTTTCAACGTCCCAAGAAGTCTTGGACCCCTGAGCCCCTACCATCGCCGAAAGCTGAGGATCGTGGAGACGGCCGACGCTGCCAATCTCGAAGAGGGAGCTGAGCTGTGGTCGGCCACGTAAGACGCAAAAAAGAGAGACCTCCGGGCCTGTCTTGGCGTGACGCCTGTCCTGGCCTTGGGCGTTACCGGCAGCCAGCAAAGCCTCAACTACCCCGCTAACACCTAAACCCTAAACCCTCAAGCCGGACGTTTCGCGAGGCTTTTCGTGCCCCCCCCAAAAACTCAAGACCCTCCAGGCTACGCTTCTTAAAGTGCCCCAGCATCACGTACACCAAGAGGTACACACACGCATATTCATATTTTGATGTGTTAGGACTACTATACTAACGTGTTGATAGATTCTTGGCGACCACTTGAACTAAGTTGTTTCTGTAGTCAAACCATATCAAATATGGTGTCCATACACATTGGCTACGTAGCTACAGTTCCAACGGCAGCCCAGCTCAACCCAGCTCAACTGCATCAGGGTCTAGGTTTTCTTAGTGCGGCCACTTCCGACGGAAAACCCTAAGCCCCAAGCCCAAAACCCAAAGCCCTAACCCTAAGCCCTAAACCCTAAACCATAAACCCAAACCCTAACGACATGACACTGTTTCTCAGTGGGGCGATGCACGTGGGTTGGGGGGATCAACCCTGAACCCGAAGCGTCCAAAGCGTAAGAGTCGGAGCCCTTCAGAGGTTAACCATTCCCAGGGTTTAGGGTTCAGTTTAGGGTTTAGGGTTTGGGGTTTGGGGTTTGGGGTTTAGGGTTTAGGGTTTCGGGCTTAGGGTTTAGGGTTTAGGGTTCAGGGTTCAGGGCAAAGGCCTAAACGCCTCCACCCCGAACCCCCCCCCCCCTACCTTAAGCCCGAAACGACCCCCACGTCTTGCACAGGCTGGGCCCACCGACGGAGGACAAGGCTGTTTTGCTTGGCTATGACCCAGAGTAGGCCCCCATTCTTTTTCATGTTTTTTGTTTTTTTGGGTTTAGGGTTTGGGGTAGGCCCTTCTTCACCTTTTTTTCGGGCTTAGGTGCCCTTTATCAGCCCCCGTTAAACCAAAAGGAGGTCACCCTGTTCATTCCTAGGTCACTTGAGCGTCTTGTTGGCTGCTGAGTATGTAGCCAGGTGAGAAGCCAAGTTGCTACGGGAACCCTCATGGCATTCTGGGGTAGATCATGGGTTTGTAAGAGCCACAAACTTAAACCCAGCAAACGACCAGACTCCCAACGGTTGCCCCTTTGGGTACAACTTAGATCCTAGACCCAGGGACCCTGGACCCTAAACCTTCTTGAGAAAGTGTGAGAGTCGCAACCCTCAACCGCAACAAGCACTTAAACCATAAGCCCTAAACCCTGTCTGCAGTGCGGGTGGCAAAAGAACCCTAAACCCTAACCCCTAAACCCTAAACCCTAAACTCCAAACCCCAAGCTCCAAACCCTAAGCCCTGAACCCCAAAGCCCTAAAGCTAACCCTCAACCCCAAACCCCAAGCCCTAAACCCTGATCCCTAAACCCCAAACCCCAAACCCTAAACCCTAAACCCCAAAACCCCAAAACCCCAAACCCCAAACCCCAAACCCCAAAACCCCAAACCCCAAACCCCAAACCCCAAGCCCTAAACCCTAAACCCCAAACACCAAACCCTAAGCCCTAAACCCCAAACCCCAAACCCTAAACCTTTGAATCCCCACCCCCAAACCCCAAACCCCAAACCTTTGAAAACCGAATCCCGACAGGCCAACGAAATGCCAACCGTGACGCCTCGCTCAGCCATCCTCGAGGAGCCACATGCAGGGCGGGGTTTGCAGCCCCTCAGACCCTAAACCCTCCAACCCTAAACCCTAAACCCTAAACCCTAAATCCTAAACCCTATACCCTAAACCCTAAACCCTAAACCCTAAACCCTAAACCCTAACCCTAAGCCCTAAGCCCTAAGCCCTAAACCCTATTCCTGAACCCTAAACCCTCAACCCTACACGTTTAGGGGGGGGGGGTGTTTTTTTTTGTTTACGTCCAACCCTGCAAACCTGTGAGCCCCTAAGCCCCAAAAGCCTCTGAGAGCACCCTAAACCCTAAACCTTAAACCCCAAACCCTAGACCCTAAACCCTAAACCCCAAACCCTAGACCCTAAACCCTAAACGCTAAACTCTAAACCGTAAACCCTAAACCCTAAGCCCGAAACCCTAAACCTCAAGAGGAAGTCTGGCCCTTTCCTTGCAGCCAGCCCGGGTGCAAGGCCTTCCACGAGGCCTCTTGGGCCGCAGAGTTTTGGGCCGAGGGTTGGAGGGTTTGAGGTTTTGGGTTTAGGGTTTGGGGTCTAGGGTTTAGGGTTTAGGGCTTGGGGTTTAGGGTTTAGGGTTTGGGGTTTGGGGTTTAGGGTTGGAGGGTTTGGGGTTTGGGGTTTAGGGTTTTTGGTTTTGGGTTTGGGGTTTGGGGTTTAGGGTTGGAGGGTTTTGGCTTGTTTTCTGCTGGCAGTCATCAAGTCTGGTTTCAAAAGGGTTGGAGGGCTTAGGGTTTGGGATTTAGGGTTTGGGGTTTAGGGTTTGAGGTTTAGGATTCAGCGTTTGGGGTTTGGGGTTTAGGGGTTAGGGGTTAGGGTTTTGGGGTTTAGGTTTAGGGTTTGAGGTTTGGGGTTTGGGGTTTGGGGGTTTGAGGTTTGCGGGTTGGGGTTTGGGGTCTGGGGTTTAGGGTTTGACAGGGTTCTGGGTTTGGGGTTTGTTGCGGTGTTCTCTTAGGCCACGGGGTTGGGTTTGGGTGGTAGGGTCCATGCGCACACAGCATTGGGAGACCCTGCGCCCGAGCGAAGGGCTTTGGGGGCTCCGAACCCTAAACCCCGAACCCCACAGCTAAACCCTAAAACCTGACCCTAACCCTAACCCTAAACTGTCCCCTCCTCCTCAGCACATCTGAGGACATGGGCGGCTACTGCCCTATGCATCGGCGCTTTCGGCAGCTTGCCGGAAGCTTCTTTAGGGTTCGTTACAATGTCCTGTCTTGGGGTTTAGGGTTTAGGGTTTAGGGTTTAGGGTTTAGGGTCAGGGCTTGGGGTTTAGGGTTTAGGGTTCGAGTTCCTCACCAGCAACCCCGTGTTACAATTTGTTTAAGGGAGGGCTACTCCAACAAGCTCCCGGATTCCCTACTACCCAGGACGCCAAATTCCCTGACTTGTGGAACCTACCTTATGCTACATTCTGGTTTTGAGGAGCTACTCCTTAAGGGCGTTTGGGCCTCGAAACCCTAAGCCCTGACACCCTAAGCCCTAAAAACCCAGACCCTCATTAGATCTCAAAGCCCTACACCCGACACCCTACACCCTCTACCCAGAAACCCTAAACCCCAAACCCCAAACCCTAAACCCCCAAACCCCAAACCCTAAACCCCAAACCCTAAACCCCACACCCCAAAATCCGAAAACCCGAAGCGCAGGATTCCTTGGACCATCGCACAGTCGGTGTGGCTCATGCTGCAACGGGCCTGGCTGGCCTTCTTGGTCGCCCGGCCACGGTTTTCTTGGTGGTGTTGGGGTCGTGTAAAGCATCCGCGTTTGCGGAAATCCTAAGCCGTAAAACCCAAAGGGTTTAAGGGGCCAACCTAGTGAATGAAAAGGCCTCGACATTGCTGACGTACACGCCCGAATCGTCGACCCTCGAAGCCCTGTCTTTTCGCCCAAAAAGCCTGAAACTACTAGTTGCTTAAGAACCCCCCGAAAATCACAAAAGTACTTCGCATTATGGGGATTATAGTCTTTTTTTTGTTTGGGGGGGGGGGGGGGGGGGGAGTGGGGGGGAGTGGGGTTCTTAAGTAATTAGTACGAAGGGCTTCAATCCCCGAGCCCCCAGAAGGTGCTGCACTCCCATGTGTCCAACCGCAGCCCGCGACTGATGTTGTACTAACTCGTCTGGATAAACAATTGCATAGTAAAATGACTTCGGCTATCACAAAAAGAAGTTTACTGTCTTCAAGAGCTTCAGGTGCTGACCTTGGCGTTGCTGGAGCTGGAGAGCAAGGTGGAAGAGACCAGGGGCTTCGGGCTTTAGGGTTCTATCCTGTGATGAAGATCTTAACAAACACTAAAACCTAATCCATACACCCTAAACCCTAAACCCTAAACCCTAAACCCTAAACCCTAAACCCTAAACCCTAAACCCTAAACCCTAAACCCTAAACCCTAAACCCTAAACCCTAAACCCTAAACCCTAAACCCTAAGCCCTAAACCCTAAACCCTAAACCAAGCCGGAGCCAAGCATGTCCCATCGCAGCTCGGCCCGGTAACGCGGTGGGGAGTGGGGAAGCACCCCCGTCATTTACGCTTTCATACTCTCGTGAGCACCGTCAGCAGCACGGATGACTCGAAAGGTATTAACTTCCTTGTGTGTTGAACTAATTATTGTTGTTGATGTGTTTGTTGAACTGCTTCTGCATGTGTCTGCCCTCTTATCTTGGGATGTTCCCATTTATACTAACAGTCCTTAGTAACAGGGATGAACCCTAAACCCTAAACCCTAAACCCTAAACCCTAAACCCTAAACCCTAAACCCTAAACCCTAAACCCTAAACCCTAAACCCTAAACCCTAAACCCTAAACCCTAAACCCTAAAACCCTGAACCATAAGAATTGCAGGCCATGCTGACCTGCATCCTCGTGGCGCTGAGCCCAATCCTTTGCCGAAGCATCGCCATCGAGCTAGGCGGAAGGGAAGGGGGGGGGGGGGTTTAGGGTTTAGGGTGCAGGGTTTAGGGTTTAGGGTTTAGGGGTGGGGCACTTATGAGCATTGAGCACGTACCTAGAACGGCTTTGCACATTGAGAGCACTTCCTAGTCAAAGAAGTAGCATTCTCAAATTGCCTGCCCTACATCCTGCAAACCCCAACCCCCTCACTCAAAACCCTAAACCCTAAACCCTAAAGCCCAAACCCTACACCCCAAACTCCAGATTTCAAAACCCTAAACCCTAAACCCTACACCCTAAACCCTAAACCCTAAACCCCAAACCCCAAAGCCTAAACCCCAAACACTAAACCCTAAACCCTAAACCCTAAACCCCAAACCCCAAACCCTACACCCCAAACCCCAGATTTC